GAAGGATTTATTGGACTTTTCTTTTCATGGTACCCCCCCCCACCGCCCCGATTTCTCAACTATTCTCTCTTACGTCATACCGCTTCTCACATATACAAGAAATAAGTGCTGAAAACTGATAAACTTTTTTCTATGGTGGGGAGGATTCATTCTTATCCAGACTGAGAAGTTTTTTTTAAACAGTGTGTGTGTGTGTGTGTGTGTGTGTGTGTGTGTGTGTAAAACTTTATTGGCCACTTTCATTTTTTTTTTTAAAAATCAAGGTTTACTCTGTACAAGGCCCGGGGAGAGGCTACTTGTGGCAGAGGGCTATGTTAAGGGGTAGTTTATATGGATAGGAGAAGAAGATAACTGTTAACTCTAGATCTGGAATTCAATAACCAAATCATTTTTTTATGAAAGATCTGTGCTCTTACATGCCGACAAGATACATTAGAAAAATGACTTTAAAACAGATCAAGTAGACAAAAAAGGATAGCAGTCCATAAAGTTGGTCGATAATGAATAATTAAGGTTGTAGTGATCAGGGAAACATCCTTTTGGGAATTCCACAGAGCAGTGGTTTTCAGGAAGAAGCTGTTTGAGAGGAAATTACTTCTTGCTGATGGAATGCAGAGGGAATTTGGATGGTTTGCTACTATGTAAGTGTCATGGTAGGTTTTAGCAGTGAAGGTTAGACCTGGAAGAACCAAGAAATGTAGTTCATCTGAGCACTTTCCATGGAAGTAGTGATAGAACAGTGAGAGATACGCCACATCCTGCCTTTGGGAGAGAGGTTGGAAGGTGGAAAATAATTCTTCTCCAATAAGAACATGGAGACTTTTGAACTCTATCAAGACTGGAAAGTGAGGACTTTGGCAGTTCCTGCTCAAATATGGCAAAAGTCCTCCATTTTCGGCCTGATCTGGCTCTTATGAAGATAGAGGATAGCATGAGTTTTTTTTCTCATTTTTAAGAAACTAACCAAGAGATGCAAAAGGACACATACCTATGTTTTATCTTTGATTCAAAAGCAGAGCACATTACAAAGAACTGTTGGAATTGTTAGGTAATCTTGATATATATATATTTTTTTCTTAACCAATTTCACCCCATAGAATGCAGTAAAGCCACTAAGACACAAAGGGTTACTGGATGTGAAAGAATTAGAAAACAAGCATTATTGAGGAGCAAGAACAACAAAAGAATAATCAGGAAGATAGAAGATGACGACTGACATTGCATTTAAACTTTTGAAGATCAAACCTGACTGGAAAGCAAGAAGTTGAAAGAGTTTCCACAAGTAAGAAATGCAAAAAAATCTGTTAGCCTAGTGTTACATCTAGCCAATTCAATTGTAAATTGATGAGACCCTGTTGTTAATCTAGTACTGTGCTTAAATACATGAAGTCAAGGTACCAAAGTGAAGAGCTCATCCAAATAATACCATTGAAGTATTTATAGAAAAGGCACAGGGAAGCAACTTTACAGCAGTGGGAAAGTGAATGAAGCCGAGATGCCAGGTCAGGACCAATAACATTGCTGATTTGTTTTTGGATTTTATTAAGAATCACTAAATATATAGCAAGAGCACTGGACCATGGAGGATATAAGAATAATCCAGAACTTATGCTGGGAGCAAAGCACTTGCATACTGATTGAAAATAAAGGGACAGCCCAACATGTAAATTAAAAATTGGGGATAACAAAATCAAGCAAGTACAAAAATTTAAATATCTTGAAGCTGTTTTAACAGAAGATGGAAAATGTGACACTGAAATCTGAAGGTGCACTGTGATAGCAAAAGATGCCTTCTAAAAACTAAACAAAATATTAAGAAACAGGAAAATTTCATTTTTAACAAAGAAAAGAATACTGAACTGTTAAATAATATCACTTCTCCTATATGGCAGTGAATGCCAGACAATCTTCTCACAGATGAAGAACAGACTTAAAGTAACAGAAATGTGGTTTTACAGAAGGATACTGAGAATATCATGGACCAGACATGTGAGCAATGGTGAAGTTTTAGAGAAAATGGAAACAAAAAGGATATTTATTCTTAACATGAAGAGATTGTTGAAATTTCTAGGGCACATAATGAAGAAAAAGAGCTTGGAGATTTTGACACTCACACGGCATACCTGAACCCTACCATCAGCACAAAACTACTGGAACAGACACTTATCAAGAAGTCCCACACATTGACAGTCTTCTAGGATCCAATGTGCGGACATAGAAATCAACACTGCAATGGTGTTGGTTTCATGGCTCAAGGAAATCTTCAGACCAGGACCTATACATATACATCTCTGCCATAAACAGACAAAAATTAGTTTTATTATTACCACTCATGATAATAAAAAGTAAAAATGAAAAACGGGCTAGCTAACCGGTTTCATACCTCGCTAAACAGAGGTAAATAAAGTAAATTATATATATAAAAAAAGAACAATGGAAAAGTGTATGGGGGGAGAAAGAGAAAAAAAAAAAATTAAATGGTAATTAGTTGGATGCCTAATATAAAATCCTTCTGCTTACATAGAGAAGGCTTTAATGATAGAATCTAGATGGCCCCTAACACTTTTAGGTGGTAATTAGAGTGGGACCTGCTAAGGATGGTAAAAGTGACACCACTAAAACAGCACAATTACGGCTATTTATAAGGTGCACTACGATGTAAGACCTGTATGTATTGGTCAAAATGTCCTAGGGAGTGTACTTAAGGTTTTTGAGTTTTTCTGGAACATGTTTTATTCTAACATCCAGCCATTGCATCATTCTTCCTATGTAGTGTGAACCGCAACTACATTTAAAAGAATAGCTAGCCCATTTTTCATTTTTACTTTTTATTATCATGAGTGGTAATAATAAAACTAATTTTTGTCTGTTTATGGCAGCGATAAAATTTTGTACTACTAAACATAACTTTAAATATACATCTATAGGTACATAAATTTATATCATTTAACAAACTAAACATTTTTAGTCATAATCATTGAATTTTATAACTTTTAACCTAAACTTTACTTTTAGCAAGATTCAACATTCAATCTGCATGTTGTGTATACAAAATTAAAAAGGGATTGTCAGTGGTCATGAATTAAAGTAAATATTAACTGACAATATTAACTTGTTTATGCTTACAGCATATTTATTTTAACAAAATCTTTTATTCATATAAATTCATAGCATCATTATTCAGTCATGAAAATATTTAATTGGTTTTCTGTAACCTTTGCATAATCTTTTATCTAAATTTCAAGTAAAGAAAGTCTATCATTAAATCAGGAAGAGATATACAAGTATTTCAGCTATGAACTAATTTTCTACCCACTATGACTCATGTAAAATTAAAAGGAACTCTAAAATAGACACTGCCCATATACCATCAAATATGGAATTGCAAAAATCAGCTGTCATAAAAAGGTCAAAGAAAAACAAGATGTAATAATAGAAAAGTTTTATCGATTAGGTGGTTGCAAAAGTTTGAATTGAAAATCCAGTTTTCACCTACGTGTTCAGTAATTTCTGGAATTCAGGAGTTATCTTTATTATATTATTTACACTCTGATTATTGTCCTCATCTTTGTTGACATCATAAAGTTTCATCCATTGTGCTCTCTGCCCTTCATCAGGTTCTTTCTCCCGACATGATGTGGCTTCCTTCTGTCTTTTCTACAAATATTTTCATGGTAACTGCTCTGAGAATCTTTTTTACCTTGGTGCCACAACTACATGAATTTAAGCGTGCTACTAGATTGGCATTTAGGTCCCACCCTTTAACTGTTGAAACAGTTAAATATAACCACCACTTCTACTCCAACAGTTTCTTTTCTTGCACTTCCCACCTGTGGAACTCATTTTCTGTTTACTTGCTTCCCTGATAATTACAATCTTCAAAAATTTAAATGCAACATCAATCACCATCTTCTGTCTTCTTGAATTCCCTTCATCTTTTGTCCTTTCTTCCATCCTCCCTATTCTCAGTTTTTTTTCTTTCGCTCTGTGTAACCCCTTGTGTACTAGTGGCATTCCTGTCTTGCTTGGGGTGAAATGATTAAAAAAATATATGTATCATGTCTTTTCTTAATGAAATATTCTCAAACAGAATTAATAGCTGCATGTAAAGGACATTTTGAAACTAAAAGCATCATTTAAATACAGAAATTGGCACTAGTCTTACCAGTCTTTATTGGATTTATTTTTTATAGTTCTTAATGATAAACATTGTAACATTTTTCCCTATTTTACACTTATTTTAAACGGTTTGATTTTGTATTGTGAGTATAACACTTTCACAGTAATCCCCCCCCTCTAGCTCGGGGGTCAGCAATTAATGGCACGTGTGCCATGCCAAGCAATTTCCAATGGCATGCAGTCACAAATTATATCACAAAGTCCAAACCAATAACTACTATAAAGCAAAGAAGATATTTAGCTGTTTCAATTTTAATATATACTAAAGTATATATACTATATATTACTATATAAAATATATTGTCGAATAAGTATATTGACCTTGACTTGCATAAAAATACACATGTTGTTGGCACACAGAATGATTTTAAAACCCTAAGTCAGCAGAAGGTAGCGGACCCCTGCTATAGCTAACACAAGAAGAAAAAAAAAAAAAAAAAGCCACTCTGGAATATTTCAATAGACAAAACAATACTTCAGCTTGGAGGCTGTATAAGGCCAGCCACCTCACACACAGGCCTAGTATAAACAGAGCAATCAATCTTATCACCCACACAAGTCTATAAGCTAACAATTAAACATCACCATAAATCAGAGTTAACATCCTTAATATTGGCATGAAAGACAAAAAATAAAATTAAATTGCCTTCTTGTAGTTCATTCCTGTAATTATCCTCTGAATAAGATTAGCCTCTTTGGGAAATGTATGAAAATAAGAGAATAGTCGTATATTGAATTCATAGCACCCATGTTTGAGCAACTGGGAAAAATTTAATCTTGGACATAGCATATACATGGTAGGAAAAGCTTCTTTGGCTTATGGACATATCACATTGAAACACCGGTTGTTACAAAATCACCAAAGTTAAGCAACATTGAGCTTGGTCAGTACTTATATGGGTGACCACTTGGGAATACAAGGTGCTGTAAGCTTGGATGTGTGGGTGGTGTACTAGATAACAGCCTGGAATTGGAAATCAGAGAGCTGAGTTCCAATTCTAATTCCAAGCTGTTATCTACTACACTACCCACATATCCAAGCTTACAGCACATGGTATTCCCAAGTGGTCACCCATATAGCTACTGACCAGGCTCAATGTTGCTTAACTTTGGGTTTTTTTATATTCATTTATGTGCAGTTACCCTTGGGAAAGGTAAGAATGCACTTTTCCCCTCCCATGGGCTTAATTAGTAGGACTTGTATTAGTCAATCCTTATCTCCAAAACATTATTGCAATCTAAAAATATTTTCTGGCTTTAAATAACATGCAAAAGATTGATAAGCAGTAAAACACAAATCAATACCGCCCCCTAAAAAAAAAAGAAGTTTCCCTGTAAACTGATTTTTGTTAGCTTAGTAGTAATCGTTTAGGACTGAAGTTTGAGAAGTTTAATTTCATTCTTTGTGCTGAATAACAAGCAGCAAGAAAAGATTGGCAAGAGAGATTTTCAACACATGCAATATTCTCTTTCAGTTGTCAGAGATAATATTTCTATTCAATTATTCTTTCAGATGAGTCAATAACATAGCAACAATTCTCAGTACCCACAGAGTGAAAGAACTTTCTCTCATCTTGCAGGTGAGGAGGATAATTATTAATTAACAGGCATTATAGGCCAGAGGAAATTTTGCACCCATTCACACCTGTACCTTGGGATAGAGGGTAACAGTCTCTACCCACTTCTTGTTATACCTCCGATATTAATATCCCTTACCCAAATTATTAAGGCTTGGCCCTATTCATGACTCTTATTGTTATCACAACGTTTCAACCTAAATATGACCTTCCTCAGGTGTATAAACACGTATGCCAAGAAAGTTTTTTTTTTTTGTAGGGGAAAGGTTTTTTTTTTTTAACAATAATTTCACCCCAATCAAGGCAATAAAGACTCTAAGATACAAGGGTTACTGAGTGTTAGAGAGTATGTGGAGAAAAAAATACTATTAAAGAGAGGATGATAAAATAAAAAGAATTAAGAAAACAAGATAACGATTGACATTGCATTTAAATTTTTGAAAATAAAATTTGACTAGGAAGCTAGAAGTGAGTTCCACAGGTGAAAAGTGCAAGAGAAGAAACTTATCATGGAATTTATGGTTACAGGTAACCATTCCAGCTGTAAAATGAGGAGACCTTGGTGCCAATCTAGTACTGTACTTAAATTCATAAAGTCCACATAGCATAGCGAAGAATTCATCTGAACAATTACCATAAAAGTATAGAAAAGGCCAAGATAGCAGTGGGAAAGCAACTGAAGTCATGATGCCAGGTCAGGACCAATAACATTGCAGATTCTTCTTTTGATTTTATCAATAATTTCTAATTACATAACAGAATTAGCAGACCAGATGTGGCAGAAACATTCAATGAATGGATAAATGGTAGACTTCTAAATATGTAAGATTCTAAAATTGTCTAGCCTGACACAGTGAACTAACTTTCCTCACAGCAGCAGCAGCAGCAGCAGCAGGAATAGCAATGGATTCAATATCATCTTTTCACTTTATGTTAGCAGAAAATGTTAGTGAAAGAAGGTATTAGGAGTCACTTGGTTAAACAGAAACATTGTGGTAATAAACAACAGAATGAAGGTTCTAATTTATGGCTCGCCTCTTTAAGAATGTAGTCTTTATATTAGATATAAGATTCTTTAAGAATGGATTCAAAGAAAGATGGCAATGTAATATTTTAGGCATGTGTTTATAGTTGGTAATAATGTTAAGTTTTCATTGTAATTTCTCCTTAAAGAATTATGTTCTTTTTTAATTAGAGTGGCATTAATTAGTGAAATCGAAGATATGTCCAACATTGTTTTGATGCAAAAAGAGAGAGTTAGATCGATTGTCCAAACACAAGTCTCTCTTGTGTTCATAGATGCTTGCTTTGAGATCACATAATATCTCCCCCCCACAAACATTTTTCCATTGTAAACAATTTATTTGATAAGACCTGGCATTTAAGTTGATGTTGGGTTTATTTTTCTTCCTAATTATATCACCGATTGTCTAGGAGGTGGTGGTAACGATCCTAGCATTAGGGATGACTAATTAGTTTGTGAGTTTAGTAGACAGAGTGTTGGAGTGGAGGATTATGAAGTTTGTGTCATTTTTGTTAGAAGTGTTATTGGTGGTGTCTGGTTCTTGGTTTTGTGGATTTTGTAAGCTTGTTTTTTGTGTTAAGGATAAAATGTTGTTGGTAATGGAGAAGATGGAAATTTTTCTCAAAATATAACTCTTCTTCATTTAGGTATTTCAGGCGAGCCACTCGTATTTGAGGATACCTGCCTACTAGGGTGGCTAGTCAATCCCTATTGCATACTCGCTCAGGCACATTTGTGTTTGTTCAACACCCACAGAGCCAACCTGTGGTTTATACTGCAACTATGATGAGCAGACCTTAGTTACAGTTTCTGGGAGAGAGCATGTTATCTAGAATGATCAACAATCTGAACAACACCTGCACATGCAAACCCTCGACCATGACTTGTGACTTTGTGCTAGCACAACTATTGATGGCCCCAAGTGTTCTGTCCACTCAATTTTTGCTCACAAGGCTTGGCTCAACCCGTGGTATGGTTTTCAAGCAGTTTCCAAAGGTGCTGCATGCTGAGATTGTCCCCACTCCAAACCAATACCATCAAGAAGTTTCCTCCCAGACAAATCAATCAAGGTGAGATTTGATCCCGGATCTCATGGTCAGAAAGCAAACATTCTAACCACTTGGCCATGCACCCCAGGCTCTATATATATATATATATATATATATATATATATATATATATATATATATATAGAGAGAGAGAGATAAGGCTAGGATGGGATTTCAAGCCTTGAATGTCAACTTTCCTAGAGATGGTATCTCAATAAAAATATTCAGTGTACTTGGACTACCATGAGTGTCTGAGTTGGGTGCCAGGAAGAGCATCTGGCCTTGTAAAACCTTGCCTTGAATCACTATGACAAGTCTCAGTATGCTGACAGGCGAATGTGGAGAGGTAAGATGAGATCCTCTATCAGGCAGGACCCACCTTGTTTTGTGCAAGATTAATCCTGGTCCTGCCCTATTAAAAAAAGAAAAAAAACACACACGGCTATGATGATAAACCATGACAAAATTTCTACCTCAAGAAATTCAGAGAATCTACTGTCCCAATTTTTGTGAACTAAAAAGCAATGAGGATGTATATTGAAATCAGAACAAAATTTCCCCAGAGAATAAATATAGAAAGCATCTAAATTTAGGTAAAATTGCAAAAGATAAGTTGTTTATCACACAATCATTATAAGGATTCAGGCATTATTATTTTATAAGCTAAAATAGAATTTAAAGTCTTATTAAAGAAAAGGGAAAAAAAATCCCATGAATTTATGTATTTGTAATCTGTTGTTGATTTTTATAAGGATTCAAAGTATTTACCAGATACAACCAACACAAATATTTATCTCAACCAACAAACCGTAAATAACCGAGCAACTGTATCATAAGAAAAAAAAAAATGATTTTTTCCCAAAAAACTTTTTAACTGAATCTTCCTGTTTTGTTTATCAACAAACAGAAAAACACATTTCAAGACTGTATTCTGCCCTACCAAAATAATTGTAAAAACTGTTTGCATCTAAAGTCATGGCACTTGTGGGGAAAATCAAATCAAATCAATAAATAGGATAATAAAGAATAAAAAAATAAATACATTTTGTCATGATGCTTGTAATAAACGAACGAGAAAAGATTTTGGCCATCTATGCAATTTTATGATGTCATTTCTGAAAAGGACAGAACCATGCTCTCTTTCCACTTTCCAATGCATTTTGCAGAACCTTCACTGATGAAGCAAGTGCAACTTTTAGTTTGGTTGTTCCAGCTCAGCACAAAGCTGACTTGAGCTCAACCATTATAACCATTCATATCGTTACTTACTCTCACTTACTTTTGAATCAGCAAAAGAAATGGAACTACCCAAGTGATTTTGTTTCCCTACAGTTTCTATAAAAAAAAAAAAAAGAATAAACAGCCCCTAATAGAAACCCACATTTTTGTTGTTTCTTCCTTGTTTACATATGAACACACACAACTTTAAGTCCGATACCCACATCAAAGAATGTCAGACACTGGTAAAGATGATCAGCCTTTTCTTCATATTTATTATTTTACATGAGGCTGGGTTTATATTATCATTTCAGTGATACGTTTTTCAGTTAAGTAATAAAATTAAGTTAAATAAGATATTTTGTTATAGTTTTGTTGTTTAAATTCTACATTAACATCTCATTTTCTCTAATCCTATAAAAACCACATGCAAATGTCATCAGCTGTACAACACCAAATACAACACAACCTCACATAGCATCACCATTTATAAAAAAAAAAAATTTTCCAACTTCTTCGGCTATTAAAACTTTTAAGTATCTTCTTGATGAATTTCTTTTTTATGGCTTATCAACCTTTTACAGGTTATTTAAAACCAGAATATATTTTAGATTGCAAGAATTTTATGGGGATATTAGTGATTTACTGATAGAAGTCCTAATTAACCCAGAAAAGGAGGAGAAAAGGTAGATTCATACTTTTCTCAAGTGCATTTGTGCATAGAGTGAATATAACAAACCTGACTGAAATTTGAACATTGAAAACTGAATAGAAATGAAAGAAAATATTGTACGAGTTTAGAATTTCTTTCTATTGCCAATCTTTTCTTACTGCTCGTTAATCAGCACAAAAAATGAATTTAAACTTCTCAACCTTTAGTCCTATACTATTATGGGCTATTATCCATTAGACCACTTGCACATCCAAGCTTACAGTACCTGGTATTCCCAACTGGTTGCTCACTAGCTACTGACCAGGTTTGATGTTGCTTAACTTTTGGTGGGAACCAGTTCCAATGTGATGTGGCTGTAAGTTTATCATTAACAAAACCTGCTCTCAAAAT